TGTTTTAGCAGAGAAAGAACAAGATTTGGATCAGTCTGACCCCCTTACAAAGTTGCATGACCTTGAGTATGTTTCTTAACTCCTTTGACCCTCAGTTTGTTCTTTTGTAAAATGAAGAGAATCATAACTAATTCAAAGAGTTGTTGTAAAGAGCAAATGTAATCATGTGGATAAAATACTTAGCCCAATGCTTGGTACGTGGGCCCTCAATGAATGGTAACTCTATAACCATCATCATCCTTTTTATTATTAACAATTTTTTTTAAAGGCCATAGTATCATCCCAGAAAGCTACAAGTCCTCTGAATGCTCTTTAATATTGTCCATCCATGTGTTTATACAGTTGTCTGCAGTGGGATGGTCATCTCTTGTGGGAAAGAGGGTTTCATGTGCCTCTGGACATTGACTGGAAGTCTTCTTCTCTTGCTCACACACACCCAAACAAAACCCAAACTTATTGCCAACAAGTGGATTCCAACTCACAGCAACCCTGTACGACAGAGTAGAACAGCCCCATGGTGCTTCCAAGGCTGTAATTTTTATGGAAGCAGACTGCCACATCTCTCTCCCGTGGAATGGCTGATGGGTTCAAACTGCTGACCTTTTGGTTAGCAGCCAAGCACTTAACCACAGTGCCACACACACATACATACAAAACACCATGCATGTTTACTAAGTTCTGGGGACTCTTCAGTGGCAGACACTATTTCCTTTGTGGGAAGACTATTCAACTTTCACAGACCTCTAAATAACACAGGTCTTAGAGTTACTAAGAGAAGAGATTGATAATCAGAAATGAAACCAAAAAATAGCTCTGCTCTCATTCTTGAGAATACCTGCCTTCTAATATTATAACAAAGTTCAATTTTGCCAGTACCTGTAGAATTTCAAAAAAGAGGTCTGATAAAATAATAATAATAACAGGAGTCTCTGGAGTCATGATGAAATGTTTATACATTAAAAAAAACAACCGCCTTCAGTACACAGTGCTGGGAAAGCCAACACAACTTGTACAAGGAAAAGGTCATGGAAGCTCCATAGACACATCCAAACTCCCCGAGGGACCGAATTGCTGAGCTGAGGGCTGTGGGGACCATGGTCTCAGGGAACATCTAGCTCAATTGGCATAACAATTTTCTACATTCTACCTTGGTGAGTAGTGTCTGGGGTCTTAAAAGCCTCTGAGCAGCCATCTAAGATACTTCACTGGTCTTACTCCTTTGAGAGCATGAGAAAATGAAGAAAACAAGATACAAGGGAAAGATTAGTCCAAAGGAAAAATGGACCACAACTACCATGGCTTCCACCAGACTGAGTCCAGTACAACTATATGGTGCCTGGCTACCACCACTGACTGCCTTGACAGGAATTACAACAGAGGATCCCAGACAGAGCTGGAGAAAAATGTAGAACAAAATTCTAACTCACAAAAAAAAAGACCAGACTTACTGGCCTGACAGAGACTGGAGAAACCCCAAGAGTATGGCCCCTGGACACTGTTTTAGCTCAGTAATGAAGTCACTCCCAAGGTTCACCGTTCAGCCAAAGATTAGACAGCCCCGTAAAACAAAACAAGACTAATGGGGCACAACAGCCCAGGGACAAGGACTAGAAGGCAGGAGGGGACAGGAAAGCTGGTGATAGGGAACCCAAGGTTGAGAAGGGACAGTGTTGACATGTCGTGAGGTTGTTAACCAACGTCATAAAATAGTATGTGTACTAACTGTTTAATGAGAAACTATTTGTTCATAAACTTTCATCTGAAGTACAATTTAAATTTTTTTTTTTTTAAAAAAAAACAGCCTTAAATAACTCTTCCTTGAGGATATTCAGACTTCCCTTGAACTACTCATCAACCGCATTCCATGGACTCCCCTAAATTTCTACAACACTAGGACCAAGTTACCAAGTACATAGGTTCTAGTAGTGGCACCAGAAGGTCCCCATACCCAGGGCCTCTGTTAGCCTATGTGGCACCTTTATATGAATTTAAAAACAGAGCTTTCCCTCTGGCTAGATAAATTGGAAATTATAATTCTTCCTGGTGGACAAAGCCTAGCACACACAAGGACTTGGCCAGATTTTCACACCGACTCACCCTGCCCTCTCGGCAGGGGGCCAGGTGCCTGCTTAACACAACCCTACCCCTGCCTCCCTTTTTCTTCCTACCTCCCACAGTATAGAGATGGTAGCCAAGTTATCCTTCACCCAAGGTCATAGCCTTAGCCTAGGGAATGGATAAGCTTATGACAAGCACTCAAATGAAGCATCTCCTTCTAAACTTGGTATAACATGAAGATCTCATCTTGCATACAATCTACTCTAGGCAGTGGCTGCCTGGACTGTGTTGAGAAAGATCAGAGACTACATCCAGCTCTCGCTGGGAGAGTAGTGAATGGATTAGCAGTATATTCCATTGGTTCGTGCAGCACATACGCCTCAGATTTACTATCTTAGCCCAAACCACTCAGCTCACCCAGTCCTCATTAAGTCATTGTCATATACAGACACTGTGAGAGATGTTTTGAAGCAATTCTTCCACTGCTGGCCACAAGTTGGAGTCTTCAGGGAACTTTTTAAAAAGGCAGATTCTTTACAATTTTTCTGTAAGTCTAAAATTTCTAAAATAAAAAAAATTATTAAAAATATAGATCCCTTGGCTCCACCCTCAGAATTGCCCAGTCATAAGCTCCTCAGATGACTCTAATGTGGTCAGTTATCGAGCTCATAAATGACTATTTTGAAGGCTACCAAGATAAGAAAAACTAAGTCTCTTACTACTCTTATTCACTCCCCTTATAATTAAATCCTTCCTCGGCTGCTAACCAAAAGGTCAGTGATTTGAACCCACCAGCCACTCCATGGGAGAAAGAGGCAGCAGTCTGCTTCCATAAAGATTTACAGCCTTGGAAACCCTGTGGGGTTGCTATGAGTCAGAATCAGCTCGGTGGCAATGGGTTGGGTTTTGTTTAATGCCAAACTGCTGGATGCAACCCATTCGTGGGTCATCAAATCAATTTCATGGGTCATGGCCAGAACAGATTTTTAAATAAAATAGGAAAAATTAAGGTACATTAAAATTGACTATTTTTTTGTGAAATTTATTTCTGATATATACATATCTATCTACTGCATCACAATGAAAACATGTATTACTCTGGGACAAGAGTCAAAAGTGCTTGGAATTAAATGGTTAAAATTATATGCTTTACGCTGCAGTTTTAGCATCCTTCCCTCTCTTTTGTTCCCTAGTGCAAACCGAGAAAAAGGCTTACCATCAACCAAAGACTCTCCACTATGAATTTTAAATTGAATCCTCTCAGCCTTACTTACTCTCACCTTAAAAGACGGGTTTCTTTGCTTTTTCTTCATGGGCCAATGTCATTATTCTACATTAATCTTCCTCTAAATTGAATCTATTAAATTTTAGTTGTTGATTCCAAACTGGTGGTAGTTTTATACTGTGAATGGTGTGCAGTGTTTTTTTCTTTACTTAGAAGAAAAGCAAGAGGAAATAGGCTTGCGTAGCAGTCGACAGGGACTTCGGCCAGATACAATGAATAATTTCCTGGTAGCCAGGACAGGACAAATGACAATGGGTCGATGGGGGGTGTAATGTGAAATGTGTAAGTCTGTGGAAACAAACTAGATTCTTATCTGTCTGGAATTCCTTAGACAAAGCCTGTCTGATGAGCAGGGTGTGGACTCCCAGACCTGTAATGCTATTTCTGCCCTGTGTCATCGAAACAGTGCAAACAAACATAAAATGCATACTCATAAGCCCGATCACATAAACCAGAAACAATCCCACAGTATTTCTCAACTGGAACACAGGTGGCTTTTGGGAGGGCAGTTCACTGTTGAGCAGGTCGGCTGAACCATTGAAGGATCGTTTAGCATCCCTACAAGCCACTGAGTCTCTTTGGGTCTCGTTTCCTCGTCAATAGAATGAAAGAAAATAATGTGCTCTTCACAGAGTTGTGAAGATAAATGAAATGAACTATGAACAGCACCAGCACAGAGCCTGACAAGTACAAGAACTCACTAACTTCCTTACCCATCTCTTTAAACTTTTAGTGTCTGAAGAAATAGAATTTTTTAAGAGCCTAAGTTTATGAAAGACATGACTCTAAGTTGTTATGCCACTGCCAATAATTTCTGAAACTATTTAAGTCCTTATCTACAGGAAGAATAATGCAACTTCGCACCCTGACAAGTAGTCATGTTTTTGTTTTGTTTTGTCTTGGAAGAAATCATTAGAAATATTTCTTCTTCCTTGTTGATAGTTGCCATCCAGTTGACTCTGACTCTTGGCAACCTTACATTCAACAGAACGAAATGTTGTCCAGTGCTGCCTCATCCTCACAATTGTCAGTTTATTTTAATCCATTGTTTCTGCTATTGTGCCAATACGTCTCCCCAAGGGTCTCCCACACCCTCACTTGCCCTCTATTTCATCAGATATGATGTCCTCCTCCAGCAGTTGATCCCTCCTGATGATGTGTCCAAAGCAAGCAAGTGTTCTGTTGTGATCCGTATGGTTTTCACTGGCTAATTTTCAGAAGTGGATTGCCAGGGCTTTCTTTACAGTATCTCTTAGCCTGGAAGCTCCACTGAAACATGTCCACCATGGGTGATCCTGCTGATATTTGATATACCCGTGGCATAGCTTCCAGCATCATAGCAACAGGCGAGCTACGACAATGTGACAAACTGACAGATGTATGGTGGCCTTCTCCCTTACCATTACCTAAAAACTTTTTATTTTTTCTTACAATGATGGGCTTGCGTTAAGGGTGTTCCTATTCTTGTTGAAAAAGGTTAGAAAAGAAAAAAATGTAACAAAGAAGATTAGATATATGTCACTGAATGTGAGTGTAAATAGTTCATTTTACTATGTTTTGTAAAGAAATATGTAGCTTAATAATCTTATTCCTCTCAGAAAACAGTGACCAAAACTGATCTTTTCAATAATTAAAAGTTTTGACGTGTCTGTTTCAGAAATGCGGAGCTGGCTTCTTTCGTTCCCTGTCAGGAGAATGTTTGCCCTGTGACTGTAACAGTAATTCCAATGAGTGCTTGGACAGCTCTGGATTCTGTGTGGTAAGTTGAGGACACCTGTCATGCTTCACATTTTCACTTGGCCTTTGTATCTCCGATGGGAATAAAGTACTCTTTCTGAATGTTTGAGCTACCAAGGAGCAAGCAGTTAATCAAGCTCTTTTCTTACCCTTCATCCTTTCCTGTAAAACACATCGTGTAAACTACTTATGATTGTAAGGGGTCGCCAAGGCGTACGTGTGAATGTGCTCCATGAGGTAACTGCCTCTCCATCCTCAGCAGCTGGTTTCCTGCTGTAGGCCAGTGGTGATGGCAGTTGGAAATAATAGGCAGAGAAAGAAATCATCCATCCAAATTCCTCTGTAATAGTATAGTTCGCCATATGTTTGGCTTCACTCCACAGAAACCAGGAGAATAAAACAGTTGCTTCATGGCTTATTTTAGAATTTAAGATAATCAAGTCTACAGATCAAAATTAATGAGAAAAAAATTTAAGTGTTTGAACCAAATAGCTAATGAAGATGAAAACTCTGGCCTTGTAGTCTTTGTAATTCTGTATTCAAGCACCCAAGAGACTTTTTTTCCCCCCTTAACTGAAATGAGTTTTCTGATAGACTGTTCTTCAGTGGAGCTTGATGGAGAATTATGAAGGAGCCTGAGGAGCCTTCTAGCAGAGACATCCTTGCTGCATATGTCCCATTTTCTCTGAATGGACTGACAACTTAGTGAAAATGGGTATTGCAATATTTCCCAGAAGTGGCTTCAGTAGAAGTCATAGAAGGCATTTGATGCCATAAAGATCATGTTTGGGGGTTTGTTTTCTTTTGTTTTCTGACAAGCTGTTTTGATATAAATTCCCATCAGGCAAAAGAGGCTTTCTAAAACTGCAACAGTATTTTTGCATAAACTACATGAATGCTTAATGAAATACACCTATTTATCTCAAAATTAGCATAATTGTCCCTATTAAACAGATCATTGTGATCGCAAGTGGCCTCCAAGGCATGTACATAAAGTTACTACTTTACTCACTTATTACATCAGGATGCAAATTAGAACTTTTTCATTTATTTTGAACCTAGAAGTTGCCATATTTCTAGGGGCAAAGAGAATTAAGTGGCAAAACACTAAATGTTGCTCTTTGTAGTTTTTTGTTTAGTCTTGATATTTCTGTTTTCTCCTCCCCCATCTTCTTAAATAAGCATTACAATCCAGGATGTCCTCTGTTGTGGTGTAGGCATATGCAGCTGCCAAAGTCTACCCCTTTCTAATGCTTCCATCTCGGGTTTCCTGTTATTTTAATCCCAGTGACATTTGAGGGGAAAAAAAAAATATATGTATATATATATATATCCATGGATACACTTGAACTAATAGTATACATCTCTGATAATCTGACCAATTAAAGGCTCTTTGTTAGCGGTTTTATTAACATATGAGACCACAGGGACTGGCAAGCCCATCAGCTGCTGTTAGTTAGGCAGTAATAGGATGGAAGACTGAACTCAATTAAAGCAGAAAAAAGTCCTTCCTGCCAGTGCCTATGGAGAGCAACGACAAAGCCACTCTCCTTTATAATGACGTTGCCAGAACAGGAGCTATGATGGCTTCATCTTTGACCTAGACACAAGCTTCTGTGAGGGATATTCATATGATTACTTCACAGTTCCTGGGGCTTGCACAGTTCTAATAAATATGTGGGGACAGATTAGGGTGTAAACATTTATATGCACACGCAGAAAAGTTGCCATTTTTTTCTGCAATTACTTTATTCTGCCACAGAAAATTAGAGCGAGAAGAGATAACCATGTTATTCAAGCTAGTGGTGGTTCCCCCATCCCACCCTACCCAGAGGGAAATATCTTTTTTTCCTCTGATTAAAGTAATATATGTTCCATGCAAAAGCATTAATAACAACAGAACAGACATATACTGTGTATGATATTCAAACTGAAAATCACCCACAATTCTATCCCCTAGAGCTACAGATATTAATATACTACAGTCTTGTAAATTAATTTAAAAAGAAAAAAATGTAATTTGTATTTTATTAAATGTGAGGGGACAGAAAGGGCTTGCAAATATAGAAAGAATATTTTGTCACTTAGCTGACAAATATATTAAGTCTATGATGTCACACTGGAATCAAACTCAGTTTGTTCTGTTTCCTTTGGTATCCCTATTCCCACCTACTGACCAAACAGGGTCAGTTTCTCAGCTCCTGTCCTGTCACCCCACCTCACTCTCAGCTATCAGGGAGCGAGCAAAGAAGCAGCAGGCTCCACATTAACACTTCCTCCTAGCTTACCGTGAGCACCAGGTTTCAATCAGTTCTTAAACAATTTGCGAGGCCTAACACATTTCTTCAAGGAGCCCTGGTGGTGCAGTGTTTAAGTGCTCGGCCACTAACTGAAAGGTCTGCAGTTTGAATTCACCAGCCACTCCACTGAAGAAAGATGTGGCAGTCTGTTCGCTTAAAGATTACAGCTTTGGAAATCCTACGGGGCAGTTCTACTCTGTCCTAAAGGATTGGCATAATTTGGAACCAACTCGACGGCAATGGGTTTGGGATGCATTTCTCCCATCTTTCATAAGCAACCAAAAGTATATTTTGTCTTATTTTGATTTTATTTTGAAGGCTTTTAATGTCTCTGTAGCTACCTTGTCCTCCCCATCTGCTTCTAATTCTTCCTTGATTCTGATGTCTAATTTCTATTGGACCTTATGCTTTACAGACTTATTTTTAAGGAACTAAGTCAGTCAGCAACAGCATATAGAGAAAACAAAGTTGCACTATCATTTTAGATGTATCAAACAAGCCTGGTGATTTCTTCACAAGAGAAATGCTAAACGTGCAAATTCAGAAAGGTGGCTAAGTTAAAAGCAGCTTAATTAATGAAATCTCACCAGTACTGGGTGTCTTTCCAAGGGCCACTTGCATTTTATCAGAATGGGAGCACAGTGGGCAATACTCTCAGCTGAGTCAGTTAGGCAGGGCCTGAAAGTCCAAGCAACTCCAGTGAACATGGTGGGCTCTCCAAGAAGGTTCCAGAAAGAAGCACAAGAAAGGAATTGGAGGAAAGAAACAAATGGAAGAAAACAGATGGCTGGAATGTCTGGTCATAGATAACCCAGATTTTATCCCAGAATCTAGAGACTAGGTATGGACAACGAAGAATGGCCATAACTAAGGCCAGTTACTATCTAAAGAGCTGGTGCTTAGTCATTAAGGAGAAAGTCAGGAGTCCAACGGCAAGAACTAGAGTGGAGCAAACCTGATGTCTTAGTTATCTAGTGCTGCTATAATAGAAGTACTGCAAGTAGACGGCTTTAACAAATAAAAATTTATTCTCTCAAAGTCTAGAAGGCTAGAAGTCTGAATTCAGGGCTCCAGCGCTAGGGGAAGGCTTTCTCTCTCTGTTGGCTCTGGGGGAAGGTCCTTGTCATCAATCTTACCCTGGTCTAGGAGCTTCTCAGCACAGGGACCCCGGGTCCAGAGGACACACTCTGTTCCCACCTCTTCTTTCTTGGTGGCACGAGGTCCCTCTCCTCTCTGCTTGATTATCTCTTTTACATCTTGAAAGAGACTGACTCAAGATACAAGATACAAGATTGAGTGCTGCATCATTAACATAACTGCCTCTCATCCTGCCTAATTAACATCATAGAGGTTAGGATTTACAAGACATAGGATAATCATATCAGATCACAAAATGGTGGACAACCACAAAATACTGGGAATCATGGCCTAGCCAAGTTGACCACACATTTTGGAGGGACACGATTCAATATGTAACACCTGACTTGAGGTTCACCATAGGCATAGGGCTCCTTAGGTACCCTTTGATTAAACACTTTATTCATTTCTTGGTTTTATTCATCCATTTAACGCATCAACATTTACTGAGCACCACATAAAGATTTATGTGCCAGACATTATTCAAAGCTCTGGATTAAGTAACTCCCACTGTGTGGGCCAAACAGCTGCAGGGACAGAACACCTACTTGAAAATGCTTGTGGACATTGCCAATGTCATGAAGCTCCGGGTACTAGGACCATAGTTGCTTTAGAAACACATACAAAATCCCCATCTGCTCAGTGACAATCCAGTGAAAAACAGAAAAGAAACTTAAGCACCTGTGCCAGCATTGCAGAAAAAAATAAACCTAAATCTGAATCAAAATATTCCTATGTGAAACCATTGAAAAAGCTGCAAAAATATAATTGAAATCTAGAAGGGGATACACCAAACTATTAAGTATTTACATCTGGCTAGTGGAAATATTGATGGATTTTCTTTTCTTTTTTTACTTTAGAGTATACTAGCCCAAATTTTCTACAACTGCTTGTAATAATTTTATAATTAAAATGCTATTCATATTCAGATGGATTTCTACCCTGCCCTAAGCACAATGGAGAAAGGAAGTAACCCAATATATTGAAGGCTAATGAATTTTTTATTAGTCTCAGAACCTAATTAAAACCCTATTCAGGAAAGCAAAGATATTACAGCTCTAATTTCTGCAGACACTAGCATTTTCCTTATGATTTTCAAACCCTTCTTTATTACATATGTAAGGCAGAAATCAACCATGTAAGTCCCTGTAAGACTAAGCATGTGTGATCAATAAACCAGCACACTCATTAGATGTCCAAAAGAAGAATAAATTCATGTAAAGACTTCTTGTTCCTGTTTTACTTGAAACTATAACATTGGTGTCTAGATCAAGTGCATGATCTTTATTTTGAAGTTTTGACAATTTTTCAATCTACTGAAAAATTGGAAAAACATAAAATTTTTAAAATAATGATCAATTTGTTTCCATGCTAGCTAAGTTTTGAAACATCAGAATATTTCATGCCCAAAGAATTCTAAGGACATTTATCTTAGTGCTTTGTGCCTTCAACCCAAGAATATGACAGGAAGTGAATGCAAATAATAAGCTCACTATACATTTTTAGTCTTCTCCCTCTGCAGTCAGGAACTTGTTCCAGCTCTTATATTCTCCACCTCAATTAATGACAGCACCATTCTGCCAAC